CTCACTTATCCAAGTTCTGTTCCCTGTCTCTCCGTGCCAGACGCCACTTAACCAACATGCCACTTTTGGAGAAAGTTCAAAACCAGAAGAAAAAAAGGAGAGACACAAAAGTGTGAGACGCAAACTCTCCGAAGGCAGCGACTTTGATGAGGACAGCGTGGAGGTCAGACGATATCTTCTGGGAGAGCAGGGACTTTTGATTTCGGCGCCACAGGTAGGCCAGGGGCTGCAACCCTAGCCGCGAACTTTTGGGGAACAGGCGAACGTGGGGGGGGGGGGAGAGAGAGAGAGAGAGAGAGAGAGCAGTAGGTTGGGGAGAGAGAAATGTAAAGCAGGTAATATTGAATATTTTCCCGCCGCAGAACAACTTCAAAGCAAACAGGGCCGGGAAACCTTCCTCCATTTGCGGGAAGGCTGCCACCCTGATATGGCCACACAACATGCTGCCACCCGCCGCCCGTGTCAGTCGCTTATAAAAATAAAAAAAACTACCATTGTAAGCTTGTCTGTTAAATAAAATTGTAGTCAAAACGCACACAAATGTTAATCGCTGAAGGAATGTGTGAGATGTTTATGTGTATGCATCTCGTGCGTAATGAGCGGAAATACAGTTGACTGACAGCAGGATTTGTGTATAAGACGATACTGCAGCTTTTGTGTGGCCAGTCTTCTCTGGAAATCATTGCTCCATTAAAACAGAGGCGCACCAAGAAAACCAAAGATGTCTAAATAAATAAATGGCATAAATAGAACTCGGTGTGGATGTGTTTGAACACACGGCGACTGTAGAGGATGTGATCTCTTCCTCCTCGTGCGTCACACGAGTTCAGAGGCCTGAGCTGTGTGCGCGTGCACTCAAGTTAGCGAATGTGTTGTGAATGTGCGCTTGTGTTGGACTTACACATTTTCCACACGGACCCTCTGGTAATCGGACAGAATGGCCCCCACAGACACTGCCTCGACTCCCTCCTTTTCCTGTGGGGGAGACGTGGGGGGGAAGAGGATGAGGAAAGTTAAACCCCACAGACTTTTCTTCCGACCTTCCACCTGCGGCTCGTGCAACGTGCGGCGTAACGGCGATGTGATGTCACCGTCCCATGTGGCCAAACACTCTTTGCTCACCCTACAATGGCTTCCAAAAGTGGTATCTGAACAAAACCCAGGAAAACACACGTAAACATACTCTCACACACACACACGGGCTGAAAAAGACAAAGAAAGCGGACTCCTTCCTTTCATCTGGCCGCAATCCTGTGGGGATGTTTACCCGCTGGTCGTATCAAGGCCTCTGGGTTCCAGCCCATATCCCCTGGAGGGTTGCGTACATGGCTCACATGGCGAACGTGCGTGTTTATGCGTCCACGTGGGTGTGCGACTCGAGGCAGAGCGACAACTGGAGGCGGTTCCTGGGGCTTATCAGCGGTCCGGTGTGAGCGGGAGAGGAGGGTGTGTACCGGAGAAGCAGTGTGTCCGTGAGCGACATGGATCTTCTAATGTTGCTGAGGGGACAATCTAACAAATGCTTCTCAGAGACAACTGTGCACTTTGAGAGACACTCACGCAGCCCTGAGAAGAGTTCAACCTCCTCTCGCGAGCACGGGCCTGAATCGCTGTGACACACACACGTGTGTGCGCATACATCCACAATCCCCTTCCCTACCTCCGTGCTCCTCTACTACAGACTCACACCTGCAGATTCATTAGAACATTACACAGGCTGTAATTAGAATGAGAGGCAAGGGTGGAAGCAGTGGAGGGATGCACAAGCCTCCAGTAAATTACCTTGTAGCCATTATCAATTTCCCTGGCTACTGGTCCTTAAGATAACCCCCCCCCCCGCCAACTCCTCCTTCTCCCCGTGGTCCCTTCCTGCAATTTTTCTCTGCCTGATAAACATGCTGATTAAAGCGAACAGCGTGTAAACCTTTGATACTTTCCTAAATGAAATCCATGCCCTGCCTGGGGCCCGACGCTTCGCTGCAACGCGCTGTGCCTCAACCATACACACACACACACGCAACACCACACACATGCAAGTAGCCACACACACACACACACGCACGCACACACACGCACACACGCACACACGCACGCACGCACACACGCACACTCACACAGCTGTAGGCGTGCCAGCTAATCAGATAAAGGATGTGCTCCATGAGTGTGTGTGTGTGTGTGTGTGTGTGTGTGTGTGTGTGGCTACTTGCATGTGTGTGGTGTTTACGATGCAGCAGAGGATGTGAGGTATAAGGCTGAAGTTAAACACGTACAGACAACTACACAACCCGAATTGAACTCTTTGACCTAAAGTTAAACACCGGGACATCTCAAGATCTCGGGATTCGGCACTCAGGTTTTAATATCTCTCTGTGTCCAACATGGGAATATACATTACATTCAATTGCACCGGCCAGTGACGGTAATTAAGTCGGACTGATAACGTTTTCAGCCCAGCGCAGAGCGGAGCGGGCTGCAGGCGGTGTCATGTAATTCTAGGTAAGCCTCGGGGCCGGCACTCTATTCTAATACAATGATAACCTTATCCCTAAATACAACTGTCACGTCCTAAAGAGGCACATTAGGACGGTAAAGAGCGGGATAAGGAGAGAGCGAGAGGAAGAGGAAAAGCGATGCAAATGCAAGTGTTGAAGGAGCGGGCAACATCAACACTACTTTGGTGCCTCGGCTTTGAACTTGGCAGGACCAGACTTGGCAGGACGGAATAACAGAGAGAGCCACAGCAACAGCAAACAACATCCTGGTCTTGTGTTTCCGTATCCGTTTCCCTCCGCTGCTCGTTGCAGGCACTCGGGCCTTTAAAGTTCAACCCGGCCGGTTAAGTGGCTCCTGTTTTCACTGGCTCTCCCTACAGTACACCTTACAGTACCCGGGCTCACCCACCCCTAAGGATAACACAAGACACATTGCTCACACACGTCCTTCCCTCTCAGCGGAGATTCTAGGTCGTTTTAGCAAAACGGTTTTGGAGAGTGATTATTTTTGGATGTGGTTACGTTTCCGTCGCAATCACAGCCATCACCAGACCAGACAAACTTTGATTATATGGGTACTGAAAAGATGTACAACATGGTTTATAGTGGGTATGTATGACAAAGAAGAAAGGGTAACTCATGAAGCGCAGAATAATAATAAAATCGAAATGAGAGCAAAACAACGTTAGTAAAGAATAAGAAGCTAACGTACCGATAAATCAAGGTGGAGGTCATCACAAGGTCACGGCTCCTGTGACCTGCAAGCCTCTTGTCTTTCTTCAAGACTGTTGGCACAGGATGCAGAGAATGAGCTCCCCGCGTGCCCCAATTCTTTTTCTTTTTTTTCAACACTTAATGACCCGAGCTCATCAGAGGAAGCCTCACCTGATCCAGGAGCCGAGGCCCTGCATTAACTCATGCCCAAAGCGGGACTCATTTTGGCACGGCGTTGTGCAACAGCGCGACCCCGGAGCAGGCCCGTCGGAGGCAGACTAAACAAAGGCCTGGCCCGGCTTCCCCCGTCCTCTCCAGCAGGCAGAAAAGCTATTAATGAGGATCTATGGCCCAGAGCGATGGAAGCCCTCAGTTCCCCCCCAGCCATGTCCATCAGGGTACTTAGCCCCATGCAGTCATTAACTTCTGTTACTAATTGTCAAATTCATTAAACTAATCCTTCCCCCACATCCGGATGTCTCTGGTGGAAATGGATGGAGAGGACTGAGTTATTAAGATGTCAGCTGTGGGGAAGATTAAGGCCAGCAGACATGCTCCACAAAGAAACGATACGGCCATTAAACTCTATATCAAGGTAGTGTGTGTGGTATACTTTGTAATTATATATACATCAATCTTAGTAAGGGAGTAAAAGAGTGGCTCAAATGTATTCACAGTCACAGACATGCCTTCAGTCAAGATATGCATCTGCCCCAAAGATACAGACACGACCATCATAAAGCACAGAATTGGGCTCGAGAATGGGGCAGTTCCGTCAGCTTACAGGTACTTATGCATGCAACACATTCAGTCCGAGTGGTATTCACCGTTCAAAGCCATTAACAGCGACCAAGGCAATTAGAAAGGCATGAAATATTTAAAATTCAATATTCATAGTCTTATAGAACACACCAGAACCCTCATTAGCTCTCTCTCTCTCTCAATAGCTGTCACAATGAGGTCTTAATTATACACCCTAACAATACAAAGCTCCATTTTGCAAAATAGTGGGTTCCCAAAATGCCTGCTTTTGCATGTTCTGACAACTAGGAAGCCAGCTTTGGCAGATCTAGGTATTTACAGACAAGGCCATTTATTTCCAATTGATAATACTCTTTTTAATGGAGTCCAGAGTTGTTGACATGTACTTTCTGTAAATCACCGCCTCGTGTGTGTAACCTGCCTCTGTGCGGTGGCAGGGAGGCCAAAGACAAAGACGAGAAATTAATTAAAGTGGTTTGAATGACGTTTTGCTCAAGGGCACCGGGGCACCATCGCCAGCTCTCCACTGCCGCGCGTCCGCATTGTGAGGTTGACACCCGGAGCCTCCTCTTCCTCCCCCCCTTCCATCCCTCTCCTTCAGGATCCATCGCGTAAGTGAACGGACGCGACATGGTTTTAATGTTCTCCCCATTAGATCAGCTCTGGGCCTGTTGTAATGGAATGGAATTGTTCTCCCCTGCTCCCCTACACGGAGCGGGGGTTGGACCTTGTTGTAGTAGCTCAAGTAGATGTGGTACAGGGGGGGCAGCTAGGGTCAAGCGATTGTGTTTAATGTAATGCAGACACGGTCCCGGGGCGCGTTGGCCTGTCCTGACAACTCAGACGTGCCAAACTGACAGGAAGCTTAGTGTGGGCTTAGCGGGAGGAGACACCGGTTATTTGTTTCAAATCACCTTCCTCATTTACATTCTGCACGGAAACAACGGCCAAGGTGACTCGCGGAGTCGTGGTGGAGGAGTGATGGGAAGTGGCAGAGGTGAACACGAGGTGCATTTTGGACACGTTATAATGTTTCGAGTTGCACCCCAATGCTTACGAGGCGATATGTGGCTTATATACACTGAGGCGGTAACAATTGGGATCCGTCAAAATAAAGAAACAAATTGACACGCAAGCTTAGCAAATGTCTTAGCAAAACAAACAGCGGCCTAAACCGTGTTCTGAAAGGCTTTCAGAGACGTTCCCTTTGGTGAATTGGTGGGCCTGTCGGCTTGAAGCAGCTGCTGAAAGACGGGGGCTCGTTCTTTGTGCTGGTGGACGGGCTGAGGTGACTCAACGCGGATCAGCCCTCCGCCGCACACATACAAAGTGGAATAAGAAAAACACAACTGCACACACACAAAGCCAGCTGCTCACGAACCTGAAAACCCCCGAAAGGCTCTTGGAGAGGATGTCGGTCAGAGTTACGTGTTGGGGGGGGGGGGGGGGGGGTAGCGCTGAGGCGCTGATGCAGGTGTGACCGAAGGATATATCACGGGACTCTGACGCAGCAGGGATTGCACTCATTTGGGTCCAGAGAGGAACGAGGAGAAAAAAAAAAGGAGCTAAAATTAAAATCGTGGAGGTACACCACTGCAGCTCTTCATGGCGGGTTTGTTTTTGTACAATTCCCAGCCTGAAGATTACACACACACGTACACACGCAGACACACGCACACACACACTCTTTAGTCTCGACTAGTGATTCATTTACAATGACAGAGCTGTTTTCAGCGATAGAGCCCGAGCATAAATATGCCATGCTGCACAGCTGGAAAATGTAGAAATTCATCAGGGTTAAAAAGTAGAGAGATTAACGTTTCACGAGTTTCCTCTCATATATTTATATATATATATGGTTACGTAAACACGGGCCCAGCCAGTCGTCAGGCGGGGGGGTAGAGGGCCTTGGCCAAAGCAAGCACAAAGCCCTAGTTTCAGCAGGCCAAGGACAAGGAGGCTTTCCATATCTACGCGAATGGAAAACTAAACGTTAGGAAGCAGGGG